CAAATTGCACTACAGGTGTATCTCCATTTATGCTTATGTACGGTCATGAAGCTAGAGGTCCCTTAGCTGTGTTAAAATCATCCATGGTCCGGTGAAATTCCATTACCTATCTTAATCTGAAGTAATTCAGCAGTTGATTGATTATCTACAAGAATTAAAGATAAATTTAGAGAAAGCATCTGACCTCGCTTCTTTATCTGCCGCACGGAAAAACAAGAAGCTTACGCATATTATTTTAACCGTTGCAAAAGTTTAAAAGAATTTTAAAATGGTGGTCTAGTATATTTACTTATACCAGACTCTAGCAACAAGCTATATGCTAGGTGGACAGGTCCAGGTGAAATTGTTGAAAGAGTAAATCCTCATTCTTACAAAGTTAAATTACCCGATGGGAGTGTGAGGCATGTTCATGTGAAACAAATAAGAAAATTTTATGTTCGAGCACAAACTGTGGGAGTGAATTTGAAGATGATTCTGAGTTTGGGAAAATTCATACCACTCCAAATAAAGGAGATCGTGCAGTAACTAGAAGGAACATCGAGGTGATATTAGTCATTTAGAGGGTAGCAAACAAAAGGAATTACACGAGCTTTTTACTCAAGCACATCGCGTTATTTTCTGGTGAGATCCAAATAGCCATCGTTGGTGAACATAGAATTCGGTTGTTACCTGGAGCTGAAAGGAACAAAAGCCATATATTTATAAGATTCCCAGAATCTTTGAAACCTGGAAGTAGATAAACAGATCGAGGAATTAGGCGAGCTTGGGTCTTACTTGAGCCAAGTGAAGCTGAAATAGCATACCCAGCTGTATGTGTTGCCAAGAAAGACGGAAGTATGCGGTTTATGTATTGATTTCAGGTTGTTGAATCAAGTAACCAAGTTTGTTGATTTCCCAATGGAGAATGTGACTGATCTAATCAATAAAATTGGACACACGAATGTTATCACCTGTTTAGATGTTTTGAAAGATTTATCTGGGAAATACCTTTAGAAGAAGAAAGTCGTGATATTAACATCATTCAAGACACATCGTTCCCAATACCGTTGGAAAGGTGATGCCTTTTGGATTAAAAAATGCAGCTTCTACTTTTCAGCGAGTGATGAATGATGCCTTAAGAAAACATAGTGATTTTTGCAAAGCATATATTGATGATATTGCTATCTTTTCACCAGATTGGAATTCGCATCTCAAACATTTAGATGCTGTGCTAACTACATTAAGTGATCTCAGGTTTACTGTGAATGGGAAGAAATGTGTTTTTGCACGTTCGGAGATAAAGTATTTAGGACATATAATAGGAGCTGGAAGACATCAACCTGATTCTGAAAAATTACAAGCCATTGAAATTATAAAAAGTCCTAAAACAAAGACTGCTCTCTAAAGAGTGCATTAGGCTTATTCAACTATTATCGGGATTACATAAAGAATTATGCAGAAATAGCTCGCCCATTGACGGAGCTTACGAAAAAGAAAATTCCTGAGAGAATTCCATGGACTGATGTTGAGGAATCAGCATTTAAAGAACTGAAACGTCGACTGTGTGAAGCACCAAAACTGTACACTCCAGAACCAGAAAAACCTTATACCATACAGTGTGATGCTAGTTCATATGGTGTTGGTGCTTGCTTGTCACAACGAGACAGCAAAGGCAGTTTGCATCCTATCAGCTTTGCCAGTCAAAGACTTTCGAAAACTCAGCAGAACTGGTCAACTATTGAACGCGAGGCTTATGCCGTTGTGTGGTCATTAAAAAAGTTCGAGTGTTGGGTGTTTGGATTGAATATCGAGCTGATCACAGACCATAATCCATTATTATATTTGTATAAGTCGGCACCGCATTCAGCCAAATTACAGAGGTGGGCAATGGCACTTCAGCGCTATAATATTCATATTTCTCATTGCCCTGGTACACAATTAAAAAATGCAGATGGTCTTTCAAGACTAGTGGGTGAATGAAATAGGTGTGAACTAAGTATGAACTAATATGTTTTAAAACTTTGCATTAGTTACTTTCTTTTGTTCCGGAATAGTACGAGAGCTACTTTCCATCTGTTTTGAAAATCAAATTACTGATTTCCATTTAATATTGCATTATAATAGTGTGTTTTGAAATAGTATTGCATATATGTTTTATTACAGAACTCCGGTATTGTATCAAGCCATCTGTTCATCTGTTGTGAGATGAATGTTTATTGCATTTATTTCAAAGTATGTTATATTACATCATGTATACATGTTCATATATTTTGAATTAATTTGGTATGTGGAGTATACAATTTAAGTTTGTATTTGCTGGTTCAGTTTTCAGATTCTGCTTCGCTTTGGTGTAGCACAATCTTACCGGGGGGGGGGGGGAGCTTGTCATGTATCTGGCAGCGGTGAGCCAATCAGTTGCCTGGCAGAGCCCAGCAAGTGAGAGAGGCCAGTTGCATATTAGCCTCAGAGGAGGCAGGTTGTAGGTTAATTATGTTGTAGGAGCGAGGTAGTGCTCCGAGTTTGCCTTTATTCTTTAAATGTTAATTTTTTTTCATTATTCTTTGAAAGTTATTTTTTAATAAATGTTGGTGTTGTTTTCCTTATGGTGCCTTATCAATCCGTAAGGTCATTACAGCTACATCAAAAGATTTAATGTTTATTAAAAATATTTGAAATACATAAAAATACTAAATTATGAAATATAATAACCACCTTAAAAATAGTTGTGTAAAACTGCACCAAAATGCTCCTAACACACAAAAAAATTAATACTTCATTAATAAACTTCATTAATAAATCTTACATTTTAAAATAAATAACGCTTCTTTATATTTAATACACAAAGCTTAAAACAGACACTCTTGTCTGATAATACACATGTACCTTTAAAGTGTAAGAAATTTATGTTTCTTCTGGTTTTAAAAGTATACTGCAGATTGAAATGTGAAATATATACAGGCAAAATGATTTCCATCACCATGCAAATAAAAGAAGTACTACTAAAATGATAATATGCATGGCAAGTTTCGAAATTATAAGCAACCCCTCAGTTCCTTTACAGTCATAATGGTAGGAGAAAATAGTGAAAAACTGAATACGATGACCAGACGAACAGTCACTAGTACAACAAGAAAGAAACTAAGGAGCCTGAATATTCTAAGCCTGGTTATGAACAGCATAGTTTCAACCCATCAAGCAGTGAAATACTAGAAAGACACTTTTCTCTATCATATGTATAAAAAAATGCCTTTCAGATAATTGTACCATAATTGAAAGATTGTACATGATATTCAACAGCTGTTACAAAATAAAGGAAATCTAGCTCATTAATGTTAGACTGAGGAAACTATCTAATAAGAAACAGAATGTCTAAATCAATAATTACACTAAAAAAAAAAAAAAAACCCACCAAGGAGCGGTTAACAGAAGAAATACTTTCACGGGGAAGCAAAATTAAAATCAGTCTACATATATCACATGCTTTGGAAAGTCATGAAAGCTCCATACAACTTATCTGCTTATTGCAAAGGAATAAATCCAGCATTTTATGGCTTAACATATTGGCAGCCAGGGATCTAAAAATTCACCAGAAACCTAGTAGTGTGGGGGGAAAAGTGTTAAATATGCACAGTCATGTGCATAGTTAACACTATACACTGGCTATTAAGATACTACATAAGAGACCTCAAAAAACTGAGTGAAAATGAAATGGCATAGCAGCAGGCTACAGTAAACATACTCATTTTTCAATTTATAGATACAATCAGAAACAAAGAATATATACGTATTGAAAAGCAAGAAAAATCAACATTACACACACCAAGGCTGACATTTCTGCCTCTGCCCATCACAAAAAATTTTAAAAACATTAGATGTTTCGGTTCTGGTATACCACAACACAAATGTTTCAGGAGAAAAAAGTATATTCCTCAATCCAATATGAAAACTAAGCCCAAATGATACCTTTGAAAGAAACTGACCCTTATTCACATTATATATAGGAAGAAATATGAACTCTGGCAATTAGCCAGTAAAGGCATGAGAAACGACCCTGAAATGATTACCAGTGTTCAACAGCCTCTTATTAGGCCACTGATAGGCCTCACAGCAAATTACGATAAACTACACTCAAGTAGTAATGCAAAGAGAATAAGGAAATTCCATGCTCTTTTTTTCTCTTAAACTTTATTAGCACAGATTAAAACATTTTCAGGCTTATTATATAATTTTGCCCTCTTAACACGTTCACTGCCGATCACATACTGGCGTCATTGCTGAAGAGGCAATTACGCTCCTGCGTGTAATGTCTCGGGTGCTAGTCACATGCTGCCACGGGAAAAGCAACGTCTCGTTGTTTCATGTTCAATCAATACGTTTTAAACATATATGTTGGTACTGGCATGAAGTGAAGGTTAGAAACTAGTTGTAAATGTATGTGGCTTGGACTGGAAACATAGTTTCATTTCGCGCACAGATCATACACGAATAACATTCTGAAACATATAGTTTGCAATAATATCATTGTAACTATCTTGTAATAAATATATTTATTTGTGGTATAGTTTCACACCAAAATAATGCATATTGTTATTCATTTTTATATGCCTCGTGCCAGGGCATAATGAGGCATTGCAGAAGTAATTTTTCCTCTTGTGCCGATCCTACATTTGCTCGTAATTATTAAATTCGATGCTTAAAGGCTTAATCAATGTGACACACACGATAATCTTTTATTATCTCTTTTAAATCACATTTCCTATAATAAGTTGTCGGCATATGGGTACAATTTATTTCTATGATACAGCATTAACTATCAAAATAACTTCACATGACCAGCAGCGAAAGTTTTAAATTACTTTGTATTGCTAAGGAAAGATAATTAATACAAACTACAGAAATACTGCTACTTATGTAAAAGGGACTTAACAGTAAAAAGAAAAACACAGATTTAATCCGAGTATCTAAAAATACACCTAATGATATAATTCGAGAATAAAAATGCTTCATAATTTTAAACTTACCATGCGGCCAGGACCCAAGCCTTTTATTGCTACTCGAACTTGGTCAAATCCTTTTCGTTTAATCCTCTGAAAAATTTTTATTTATTAGATTTGAAAAATATGGAACATTAAAACCTCCAAATCATAATTAGATCAAAATATTAATTGAAAACATACCGTGCTAAAAGAAATTGCTGTAGCCTGTGCAGCTATATTTGTTCCTTTCTTACAATTTTTGAAACCTTCCATACCCTGCAAAATAAAAACAAAATTATATTATTTTTGATTAATTTTCATATAAAGAAAACTTCATTAAAACACAGTTTCAATCACTAAGCATTAGTTATCCTATTACATTATCGTCAGCATTTCAAATTCAACTTAGTGGATTGGAAAAAAGCATAAATTTTATACTAAATGCAATTAATTTTAAACTTGATAAAAAGGTTCTAAAATAAACCGAACCTCTTAATATCATATGCACACTATGTCAAAAATTTTTATGTATACATCACGACTTCTTTGTACTGAATATTAAATGATACGCATTTTTTCCTGCCTTTCATTTAAACTTATCTCCTCGAATTTCATTAGATATGTATTTCTCATTCAATTAATTCAGTTCTCATTTTGCGACAAGGCAAAAACATATGAAACTTCAAAATATTTTTATTAAAAATTGAAATATATAGAAAAACAAAATAGCAAACACAGATAAAACAATTAAAATTTCGACACAAAAACAAGAAAGGTCAGCCAACAGGCAAGAAGGCATATACGGTGCACAAAACCCAGTGTTTACTTTGGTCTCACTCGGAAAAAAGACACTGAAGGTGCAGAAATTTATTTAATTTGTCGTGGACGCTATGCTGAGTCAATAAATATATGGGATAATTTAATAATGTAAATGATAATTCCAGAATGGATTAAGCATGATTTAATTCACAGCAATAAAAGAAGACAATCTTTGCTGATGCAGTTTTTCAATATTGGCAACAAATCCAATATTCTGCTAAGTTTCAAATGTAACAAAAATTACGCTTAGCCACACTTAACTTTCTTAAGCCGGCAGTACAACTGTAGTACCGCAAAATTTACTTGCTCTTAAGCCGGCTATGGTACAACTACTGTACCAAGCTTTCCATTCCTCCTTTTAGAGTAATTGCTCACCTTCAGATTCTCTGGGTGGTCTGGTCTAGTTTTCTTTTCAGAACAGCTTCTGGCTATGTAATGTTTCCCACTTCTTATCTCTTGGGCGAAGACCGTAGGTTTCGTCTCGCACCAATGTGCTTGAGAAAAAAACAGATGCTATCTCTCTTTTAATCATTAGAGCTTTTTCTCGTGATTTCTGTGTAACTTGCGCTCTTATTCACTTCTTATAACCTCGCCTATACTCTTATAACTTGCACCTCGTTTCAAAGGTCTCAGTCAGGACGAAATTAATAAGTTGTTAAGAGATTTAGAAGAAGAAACTTTTGCTGATACAGATTCGGACTGTTCAGATGCAGAAGAAATATTAATCAATCTTTTAATGAAGATAGAGTTTCCGATAACTTCAAAAGCAAAACTAATAATTTATTTGAATGGAGACAGCCAAGTGAGCATGACAAAGTAAACATATTGACCTTTACTGGTAAACCTGGCATAAAAACTGAATTTTCGGGAATTCATCTTGCTGCTGATTTTTTTAAGTTATACTTTTCAGATGAATTGTTTAAAATGTTAACCATAGAAACTAATCGATATGCTTCTCAAATCTTAGAATTACAGCCAGATATAAGCGGAAAAAGAAAAAATGAAACCGACTGGACGCCAATTACATCTGATGAGCTTGAGAAATTTTTTGGATTAGTCTTACTCATGGGACATGTTGAAAAAGACAGCATTCGAGATTACTGGTCCACGGATGATTTAATCGACACACCAATTTTTCGTAAGGTAATGTCAAGAGACAGATTTTTAATGATTTAAAAATTTTTGCATTTTGAAAACAATAAAGAAAAACCCGATAAAATTATGAATTATGACAGACTGCGGAAAATTCGAAGTTTTTGATCATTTAAAAACAGTTATAAACAGATTTACAGCCCCGCAGAAGAACTCGCAATAGACGAAATTATTGTAAATTTAAAGGGCGAGTAATATTTAGACAGTATATCCCATAAAAACGCAAGCAGTGGGATATAAAATTATACAAGATCGCTGATAAGGAAAGGTACACCTACGATCTGGAAGTTTACCTTGGGAAAGATAAATCTAAGGATCCCAACTTCTCAGCATCTTATAATGTCGTTAAAGAAATGAGTGATACTATTAGAGACAAAGGCCATAAATTATTTATGGACAATTTCTTTTCCTCGCCAGAACATTTTGTTTATTAATTAAATGAAAATAAAATAAATTCATGTGGAACTATTCGTCCAAATAGGAAGCATTTCCTAAAAAGATGTAAGCAAAGGAAAATTGAATAGAGGAAAAACCACTGTGCGTTTCACAAATGGGATGACAGCTCTACGCTGGAAAGATAAGCGTGACGTTTTCATGCTGTCAAATATTCACAATCCAATGGTTATAGCTGATGAGCAAAGCAGAGATCAAAACATGTTACAACAAAAATATGGGCTATGTTGATTTAAGCGATCACATGAAGAACTTTGAAGTGGACAAAAAAAGTATTTTTTCATCTACTTGACCGAGCAGTGCTAAACGCGTACATTCTAAGCAAAATAAGCAATATTGAAAAGAATCAAAGTTTTTCGCATGAATTTGATTAGAGAGCTGATTTATTATTCTGATCTTCAAGCTCATACGCTGTCTCCATCAAGTCAGAAAAAACAATGCAAGTATCTATGCTCCCATTTCCCTTTTGATACGAAGAAAAGACGAAGATGTGCTGTTTGTTCTGCAAAGGGTTTACAGCGGAGATCAACTGTCATATGTAAAGCATGTGATGTAGCACTCTGCATAAACTGTTTTGAAAATTATCATGCGTCATTTCAGGGGAAAAAAAAAAAAATAGTTAATTAAATGAAAGCACCTTCCTATAATAGCAAAAACAAAATCAGAATTTAATAGAGCATGTCTATTAAATTCTGCCTTTTAAATTATTTGCCTTTTAAATTATTATTAATAATTCTGCCTTTTAAATTATTTGCCTATTAAACGCCTTTTTATAAGGTGGGGGGGAGAGAAACTACACTCAGATGATCACAACGAACGTAACATTGAATATATAACTCTGATTTTTTCATGTGAGAACAATTTGGTTTAGATACCGGTGAATGAGCTACCTGTATTATCCTTTTCATAGTTTTCCCGTTAAAAACTTGAACGTGAGCTAGTTCTGTCAGTCATTTACGAAACATCACTTTTCAGCAAATAGTACTATTATACTTAATTAAATAATGCGTTTGACATTTAAGCTTCTTCTCTTACGCTAGTAAATATAGGATTTAGTTACATCGCTACACTTAGTTGTTATGTAGATAAAACTATTGATGATTTCGTTTGGTAACAGATAGTTAGTTCAATATAGGTTCAATACAAGCGAATAAACAGGTTCCATAGGATTCCCCCCCCCATGTGCAACATGATTATAAACTGCTTTCTCTCCAAATGTCCTCGACTAAGGTTACATTAATTAATTCAGAAAAGCAACTCGAAGGCTATCTCTCTATGGAACGAGAGGCTATATCGTGAAAGACTTTCTAAAGGAAACTCTCTCGCATTCAAATTATACATTAAGAAAGCCACGAAATCTCCCATGTTCGTCTGGATTTTAATCCAGGTTGAAATACCAGTGTTTAGTGATACTACTGCTCTTTCAACCGGTGGATTCCTCCATGAAGGCATTCATATTTTGAAGCAACTTATAAGATATTTTCTCCCTCCTTTCTGCATGCCTTCGTGGTGTAACGGTTAGCAGACCTGGCAAGTATTTCGAGAGATCCAGATTCCTGTCCCGACGAAGGCATTGCACATTTTTTCAAGTCTCCTGGTTCAAAAATAACCTAATGACTCTATAGTGGTGCATGCCTTCACGCTGTAATGGTTAGCACACTCGGCGCATATTTCGAGAGGTCCAGGTTCGAGTCCCGAGGAGGGCATTGCTCATTTTTCACGTTTCCAGTATCAAAATAACCTAATGACTCTAAAAATTAATCTTAGCTTGCTTTGTCAACCTCGAGTAAGCAATAAGAATTTCTTTGTTATGATAAACTCCATAAAATAAATAAAAAGGTTTTTCACTTGGCTAATAACATTTGGTAAAGATGCATATATTTTTATATTATGTTTCAAATTTCAGTGATCTTGCACTCTGTTCGAGATTTAATGTTTCTAAAGCTCCTTTTACAAATTAAGCAAAACTACTTTTTTTAGGGCCTGCTTTACACATGAGGCTTAAATCTAATAAGATGTTACTTTGGCCTTTCTTGGTGACGAGGTCATAAAACTGTTCAGTAATGTTAACTCTGTTCGAACTTTCATTTATCCTTTTGTGATTTTCGTTCATTCTTAAGTAAATAAAATGCAAAAATCCACACGTAACCAACCTGTTCTCTGGGATTTGATTGGCTTTATTTGGTTTGCTCACTGGATTACACTGAAGCACTCGACAGCTATCCGTATAAGGGGAGGGATGCCTTCATCAAGGACTTGCTCAGTAAAACTGGTATATACCGACGTTACGACAAAAACCATGAAAGCGCCCATGAAGGCTGTGATTCGAACCCGAGAAAACTACCAGTGTTCAGCCACTTTAGCGCTCTCCGCTGGTGGGCCCGTAAAAAATAGACCAAGAAAAATGATTGAAATAACAGATTTAATTTTCTAACATATGTTTACCATTCGGCAATACAAAAATTTAAAATTTTAGGTGATTGTGAATAAACTATATTGCAGTTTTCTCCAATGTTTCATTTTACGATTTTAAATGAAATTGCAGCACTATGGAATTATTTCTCGTGCATTTATTTCGCTCCGTTCATCATTCTGATTCTTTATTCTGCCAAAGAGAAGATTTCACACTTTAACAAAGACACATAAGAGAATACTTTATGAAAAATTTGTTGGAAACAATTTTCTTAATTTTGCTTTGAAAATATTCCTGGGTAATTGTTTTGATCACTGAAAGAAATATGAAAAACATATTTCCTATACTGTAAATGTCAATACCCTGTCTGCCCTTATTTTTTGGAAAGTATGAAAGATTAATCTTTTCAAAATGAAATTAGAAAATTTTATTATGTTTATTTATTTTGTATTTCTTATTTTATTATGTATATGTATATCCATTTCATTTAAAATCAAGGAAAAATCAAGCTTTGGATATCACGATGGTTTTGAACGAAATCCGCCTACTGAAAGAAAATTGACATAGAATTCTTTATAGACACTTAAAACTGTTCTGAAAAATATTTTTGATGAATTTATATTTTCTAAAATTTTAAATGATACATTAAAATTCTACTCAACAAATATTAAAAAGAAGCCTAATCAAAATAACCTAATGACTCAAAGTGCTTTCTCTCTCTCTTTCTACGAATACCACGAAAATGCAAAGACTTAAGAAATTATCTCATCAGACTTTACTTCACATTGCAGCTATAAAATGGATTGAATATATGGGTATTCGTAGAATTTTTTAACTGCTAACGTAAACAAAATCCAGTTTTATAACGAAAATTCTCTGTACAGATATATCCTCCTTTGCCCGATAGACCAAAGTAATATTTGTTAAAATTATATAATTAAACGCAACTAATATGTCTCCGATTTTCTTTTTTATATTACAATAACGTAATTATGGAAAAAAAAGTTTTAAAGCTTTATTATTGGTATAAGTTCATCTCAAAATCTAATAGTAATGAATCATATTCTAAACATCTAACAGTAATGAATATTATTAATAAATTCATTATTATTATTTCATTAAATTATTCATTAGTTATTTTATTAATGAAAATAAATTATCAAATATTGCATTCCGACCTGCAGGCATACAAAGCTAGTAATTCATATTTGTTATATTTTGTCACGCTCTGTTCTCTTTTCCTAATTTCTAGTTAAAAACAAAGAATTCACATAAAATTCACAAATTATTACTGAGATTGATCAGAATTAGTAAATGTTATATAAACATTGTATACATTTTGCTCTTAGTAAATAAATGCAGTTTAGTTTAAGTTAAAACAAAATAAACCTGGAAAAAGTCGCAAATATAGTAACCTATTCCAGGCTATTGTCCAGCCTGTGACAAACATGTAAATTTTACTGCATCTATGGAGGGGACAAATGACCACCCTAATGACTTTTCTCATTAAGGAACAGTAAAGGAGGGGGGAAACACTTTTTTGGATCCTGCTGTCCTAAAGGTTATATTATGAGGATTTAAGCCCCGGTTTCAGAAGGTTAAAACAACTTTTAAATTGTTGATAATTCTACAACTACTGCACGGAGATTAATCAAGGCATAAAAACTTTAACTGGAACATAAGAATAAAATTCAATCAATTTTAAAGCAAAAAATGCACAACTTACAAATAAAATATAGCTCAATTATATTGATTTTTACTAGTCGTAGCCAAAGCTATTGTTAAAACCCAATTTGATTATATACCTCTCTCTGAAAGTACTATCATTTTCACATTTTTCTCAAAATTACTTTCTATCAAAACACAGTTATTCAGAAAATTTTTTTTTGTTACAGACACACATCATAACAAAATTTTCAATCATGTTTTCTTCAAACTTAAATGCGTTAAACAGCAAAAAGTAGAAAAATTCATTTTAATAACTTGGTAAGACCTAGAAGTGATTTATCTTTATGAACTACATTCTGAGATAAGAAAACTATGAGTAATAAGGTAAATAGGAATTCATAAGCTGCAGAAGTTGTCGCATGCTTTTCTTACAGATGTTTTAAATCACATCAATTATAAACCGAGACACACAAAGTCTACCTGCTGAAAAGAAATCTTTCTATGAGAAAAGGGATTATATTCATCCTCAGTTCCATAACAGCAAAAATTTAGCTGACTGGTACAAAATCTAAGTGGACTACCAAAGCTTGTGGATTGTTCAATTTGAGCATTCCTCAGCATTAAAGGATGCATAAAATATAAACTCTTCCCCACTATAACAACTAAAAGAATTTGTTACTTCCATAACAATCATTCATCGCCTAAAATTGGACCGATGTTGAGAAAAAGTTTTAACCACTTGCGCTAAAAAGACGTGCCACGCACGTCAAGATGCTTTTGTCTCAAACAGTGCACAAAAATGAAAATAACGTGGTGCACACGTCACCTAACAACATGATTGTTTATTTCTCGAGTTAGAGCTCTGAATTGTACTCGCAGACACGAAGCAGCGTAAATGAGACACTTTACCGCTTGTTACATTGCAGAGTACGGCACCACAATCATGAAGTAGCAAGTAGCGCGAGTGGTTAATGGAAATAAGTCAGACAAAAAATAAGGCAGTTCCATGGATAATTCAAATTTACTGATCAACTAAATGATATGATATACTTTACTAAACGCATCAGAATTCCTTTACCACAGGTTTTTTAAGGAACTTTTTTATTTAACAGTACCTCACATGTATTTTTAAGCACTTAGTTTTTTACATTTTATAAGCAAATATTGGTTACTAAATATTAGTGAAATGAATTTATTCTTCTTCACAGATACTACCAATAAAAAAAACTATACAGGATCTTTTTTGAAATTAAAAGGAACTCGCACAAGTATTTGAAACTGAATGAACAGTTTATATTTAACCACTTGCGCTATGACTAAACTTCACTGTTGCGGTGCCGTGCGCCACAATATAACAAGTGGTAAACTGTCTCATTTACAGCGCTCTGCGTCTGCAAGTGCAATCCAGAGCTGTAACTCGAGAAATAAACAATCTCGTTGTTAGGCGACGTGTGCACCACGTTATTTTCATTTTTGCAATAAATGCCTATCGACGTGGTGTTCACACCACTCGCAGTTTGAGACAAAAGCATCTCGACGTGTGTGGCACATCTTTTTAGCGCAAGTGGTTAAAAGAAACATGAATATAATGGGACATCCAATATTTCGTTGTATATCCTTTAGATAAAATTACACTTTTCATCCACTTTGGGCATGGATTCAACTAATGTTTTTATATAAGCATGTCCCACTCCTCTGTAAGAAAAGTAGAATTAAAAAAATATCAAGTTTCCATATTCTTTTTCCCAACTTGAGCGACACATGATTTATAACTTTAAAAGCCAGGAAAATGTGGAAATTTGATAATTTCAAGACAGCTCTACACTAGACACAAGTGAACATTTAGAGCTGTTTGTTTAGGATCTTTATCCTGATAGAACTTTATTCTATACTTCAATAGTATAACTGTATTCAAAGTTTTCTTGAAGATGCTTTCAGATTTTTATACAGAACAGCTATATCAATATGTATTTAAGTGGAATTTTCCATCTCAGAAGCAACAAAACAGTTCCAAACTGTTATGTCTCTATTCCTGTGCTTAACAGCGGGAAATAGCTTTTTAAAATTCTTTACTCGGGCTTGTCACATAGTAATTTGCTTATCGGATCCAAATCTGATTCATTTGCAAATATTATGTTCTAACATGTACCACACATTCTGAGAATGGCAGTTTTTTTTTTTTTTTTTGATGAAGAATCTCCTTCTTGCTAATCGCTCTGTTTATCCAACCACATACCTCAATGATTCTTTTGACAGTATTGCAAACTGTTCTTCTGAATCCACTGTAAGTTTTTTGCCCTCTTATTTTTCAATCTTGCGTGACTTTTTGTAGGATGCAGTTAACGAGCTATTTCCATTGTTTAATGACATCAAAGATACTCGAATTCTGCATAATTTTGAGTATTCTGAATATTTTTTAAAAATGAATAATAAAATTTCTAACAGAATTTGCCATTAATTTATCATGCACTGCCATGTTCACTTCAGATACGGAACAGTTAATATATTTTGCTAAACGAGTAAAAACTTCTAAATGCAGATAATAATTCTCATGTAGTTTCATATAAACAATAAATTGTGATTAATTAGAAACTGTGTTCTAAAACTTTAATAACATTTTTGAGAGTATGAATTATTTTGAGAGTTACTGATCAACATTTTTAACTAAATTATTTTATTACAAGAATTTCTGACAATATTTCGCAAAAAATTGAAGTTTATGTTTCAATATTTAGTACAAGACCTATGAAAATAAATTTCAACAATACAAGTGTCCTAAAATAAATGTAAGCCACTGTATATATTTTATGCATTCATAGCTCCAAAAAATGATGTAATTTTAACATCATGACCAATCACATTAAACTTCTAACGACTGCATAATTTTCAAGAAACACTGGAAAAAACTGCACATTTGTTCAATTCAAGAAAACTGCTTAAAAATAAGTGCATGAACAATATATGTAGTTATTTTTAATTTTTTGGAATTTTTTTAGCTTGAAATCAAGAAAATATGTAAAAGAAGAAATAAAAAATTTCCCGGTTATAAGAAATGAATTGTTTCTAATTTTTTTGGCGAAGTTCTTTTGAACAACTCCAGCCTGGAAATTTCACAAGCACGAGAAATAAAGGGCAAAACCTCACCACATAATTAGAACAAGAAGGAAGAGGTTAAAAAGGAAGAAAATATACCCACCCAGTTTATTAAAATTTTGTGAATTTTTACAATTAATTTCAAGTTTATAAAAAAGAAATTTTCTTAAGATGCATAAAATCATGTTAATAAGAAAATGTTTTAAAATAGAAATTGATATTACTTACACATGATCGTGTTGCTACAGGAACATCTGGAAAAGAATTTTTATATAAGAAACATAAAGCAAACTGAAATTACCATTTTTAACAATCATGGTCTCAAAAATGAATTCCTAGAGCACATCAACATCATGAAGCACATTCACAATTTCTGTTCCCAAAAAGCTTTTTACCAAGGTTTCAACTCATTAGCAAATCAACACTAAAACAGAAAAACATAAATCAACACCACCCAAGTACAAAATATAAAACGTGTATAATATATTAGATATTTAAAAGACAAATGTAAATAGACGCAATTGCTAATTAAATATCTTTTACAACACCACCCAAGTACAAAATATAAAACGTGTATAATATATTAAATATTTAAAAGACAAATGTAAATAGATGCAATTGCTAATTAAATATCTTTTATGTTATTTATTATTACTGTTCATTACTATCTGTCAGCATATATGCTTCGCTTTTTACAAATGATGACTAGTGCATATGTTTGGTAAGGTTAAGAATAGACTTGCATTTTGGTATTCAGCTTGAGAATGAATAGTACAGTACAAAGTCTGTAATCTGGACTCGTCAGGACTTTGGTGATTCTGGATTATAGATCATCAATTTAAATCTGGTTAAGATGGCATGCAGAATTAAAAATATGAAACCGTATTTTATGAAATAAAGAGCAATTATGATCTAAAGGGTATCAAAATTTACCTCCCCCCAAACTTAATTTTATTTGTTTACTTTATCAAACATTTCTTTCAAATAAGTCGTTTAAGTTGCTTAGTCTTTTGTGCTAAACGGGCATGCGTAAACGTTAAACGCGTAATGCGTTTGTGGCTTTGAGGTCCGGATTATAGATCATTCCGGATAATGGACGTCCGGATTGCAGACTTTTTACTGTAGTATGTAGAACACTGAATAAGAGAAATTGCATATCAATGCAACCAACGTACTAGAAGTCACCAAATTTTCAAAATATGCCAAATTACCATGCTTGTAACAAGTCTACAGCTTTAACAAGAAACATAACATCACCATTATTATAAACACTCTTTTCACTATATTCAAAAGGCTTCTATAGAAAAAAGTTGTCTTTTGCTTTAAACTTAGTGTTAAAATATATACTTACAAGTTACATTACCTTAAAATGGCAAAGCTACGAGGGCTATGGGTCTAATACTAGGAGACTTGCTTGTTAGTTTTTACCGACCAATATTTAAGGAAAATATCGAATTAAAGCATAAAATATAATGTAATAATATGTATGTATGCAATAAACATTTAGCAATAATATGCCAAGTTTTTTCGTCTGTAAAAATCATCGAATTGCACCAAGGACGATGCATTAACAGGTTAAGTATCCAAATGAGAACCGGACTCATTATTGAAATTTTACTCTTCCAGTCTTACACAATACAACGTGATGACCAAAAATACAGATATTTTTCTGTTAACAGGATGCTAGTTGGCAAATAAGGTAGCCTGCTTATATAACACACTCTTTAATTCTGCAATGGCACAACAACAACAAAAAAAAGGGGGGGACATGTTTAAGATTTTAAATTATGCCTAAAGGCACGCTTTGTTACCTTTATTTATTAAATATCATGTTCTTTGCATTTAACCATAAAATTTAGTTCAATAGCAATGATGCAAAATAATTTTGAAATGAGCATATCTTTAGAATTTCCGATACACAGTTCGATGTGCTGGAAATAAAAAGCTCCCCCCCCCCATTGCTCACTTTCAAATTGTTGAGTTTGTTACTCAAAAATTTGTTAGTTTTACAAAATATGAAACCGATAATAAAACAAATTGAAAATTTGGGATTTCAGATACCCATATTTGCAGTAGGATTACGTCATTCAAAATTGGATGGCTCTAGATACCGTTGTTTTATCAGAATGTGAGAAATATACATACATTTATGCAGATTTTTCATTATTTCATTTCTTAAAATATTATGCAGAATCTACCATTTTATGGCAACAGTTTGAAAATAGAAATGATATTTATAGGAATCCAATGCAAAATGCCAAAACGAAAGTAATAGTTCAAGACTCAAATCCCTTCGGACTGCAGGGGATTTAAAAAAAAAAAAAACTGGAAGAATGAATATCAATTCAGGAATCATTTTATTCTATACTTTCAGTTGTTGAAGCAGATGGAGTGGCAGCAGCTGGATATGCACACCTACCAGTTAAGTATAAATTCAATGTTACTGTCCTTCATAGAGGATGCGCTATGCCCCCCAAAAATATATATATATCTATATACATACAAACACACACACACACACATATATATATACATATACATACATACATATATATATATATATATACACACACACACCAGCAACTGCACTGGCTGTTGCTACCTGACAGTTTTATGCCTCTCATATAATCTGAAACAAATCTGGCAAAATCCGTTCTGTTTTTTTAATAGAATACTTCCTTTTTTATGAAGATTTACATATAATCAGTGTTGCTGCTTTCTAGTTAGATTTCATGGGAGTGCTTACGTTTGACACTGAGTGGCATCATATTAACAGGAAAGTAAACCTTGCTTCCCTCAAAAAAACTGAAAGCTTTTAGATTTTCTATTACGCCCAAAGAAGCTTTCTTTTTAGCGTTTTGTCATATTCTTCGCACTTACACCATAAAATTCAATTCAACAGCAATATCACAAAATATTTAAAAGAGCATATCTTTAAACTCTACGATACACAGTCTCGCATGCTGGAGATATTTTTTCGTACAGTGTTGCCTTTGCTTGCTTTGAAATCTTATTAGAGGTTCTTAATCAAAACTCATAAATGCTTTACAAAATATGAAACAAATTCCGAATTTGGGGTTCCAACTGCCCATATTCGGGTGGAGATGTACATTATTCAAAATTGGATGGCTCTAGGTACTATTGTTTTATTACAATGCGAGAAACATGCATACATTTATGCAGCTTCTTCATTATTTAATTCCTTTAAGTATAATACGAGGTCCTAATATGTGAAGCAACAATTTAAAAAGAGATTCAATGTTTATAATGAATCAATGCAAAATGCCAAAACGAGATTGATAGCCTTTCTGGACTAACACCCTTTGGGGTAAAAAGGGGGAGGATAGTTCTATATCTCCTGATCTACTGACAGATTGTTGGAATTTAACATGCGTTTCCCCATGTCTCGAAAGTGCAACTTAGGATATATATTACATTTTTCTAACATAACATATTTTGACATAAAATTAAATTTCTTTAAAATAACATACCACTTTTTCCATATTTTGATTCCACAACTTAAATTATGCATAGATATTAAATTTTGTAATTTCTAGTTAGGAATTAAAAAATTTATCTCTGCACGTTCCCCCCCCCCCCACTTTTGTGCCATGAATAAATCAATTGGCAAAATTCTTAATTTATACCAACCTATTTTTCTTTCTCTTTTTTCATTGTACACGAGCAGGGAAAGGTCATTCATACTTTCAAATAATTTTAACAAAGTGTGCAAATCACATTTGGTGTTATTAATGCTTATAACAAATATGTCAAATTTCAAAATGCACCAATATGCAAATTCACATATACCGTGGTGGCCAAAATTGTGAACACTTTTGGAAATTTTTATGTTTTTGATATTTGTATGCTTATAAAAAACGTTACGTTTCACAAAATGCAAACTTGTATATATCATTTTAAAGAGAATTTATTACTGAATTCAATACATAACACAAAATTCAATTATTTGCAATACAAAAAAAGTTAAACGATAATAGTTATCGATATACATTAGATAGTAATGATTGCGCTGAGTTATCAGTACTTAGTAGGGTACCTTTTATTTTTGATTACAGCTTCACATCGACGTTTCATTGAGCTGACAAGTTTTAAGCTCTTCTTTCGTTATTACATGATGCCAGGAAACAATTATAGCCTCAATTAGTTCCCTTTTATTTGATGGCCGCCTCATTCGGACAAGAGTTTTCAAACGGTGCCACAAATTTTCGATAAGATCGAGGTCAGGACTGTTTCCTGGCCATGACAACAATTTAATGCTCTTTGTACGAAACCACTCTTTAGATATTTTGGCCGTGTGGCAAGGAGCAGAATCCTGCCGAAAAATAAACGAAGCATTGTTGGGAAAGAGATCTCTGATGGAAGGTAGAAGTTTTGGTTCTAGAATAGTGTCAATGTATTTTCTGGCATTCAGTGTCCCATCGATGACATGAAGGCGACCAATACCATCTGCTGACATGCATGACAAAATCATAACACTAACTGGGTTCTTCACAGTTGCTTGAATGCAGTCAGGATGTAGCTCTTCTCCTATTCTACGCCTTACATATTTTCACCCTTCACTATCGAATAACAATATCTTAGTTTCATCACTCCATATAACTTGTGACTGATCATCTGTCCAATTAATGTGTTTCTTTGCCCACTGTAGTCTTTTTTTTTTTTTCATTGCTGAAAATTAAGATATGGCTTTTTTCGTGGAATTCTACCTCTCAGTCCAACATCTGTTAATCTTCTTCTGATTGTTCTTGAACTGACAGAAACACCAGCATCATTCAGATCACTTCTGATGGCCGCTGATGACATTTTTCTATCTTGGAGACATAGTCCTTTTATTCTTCTGTCATCAATAGATGTGGTGCACCTTTTTCGGCCTTTTCCTTCTTTGTTTTTTATTGAATTTGTCTCCTGATATCGTAAACAAAAATTTCGGAATCCAGATGTAGTCACTGAACCACCCACCTGTCCTGCAATTTCAGCATAGGAAAGAGCACTTTCTCGTAACACAATAATATTACATCTCTTTCTAGGTGTCCAATCTACTCTTTTATTTGATGTCATTGCTTCTTGACTAAATATTAAAATTTTTTACAAAAATTCCTACTTGTAATTGCAGTGTATAAGAAACAAGTCCTCCTTCTACAGAACAAAGCAAAATAACGAATTGTTTCAAGTGTAAACATGATGTCAGCTTCTACTGGCAGTTACTAACATTTGATTGGTTCTCAGAACAAGA